TGGGGGGGGGATTGCCGTTAATGTTCGAAATACACTTAATTTCCTTGTAATTTTCTACAATGACTGTTTAGAATATTATTTAATCGAAACATCATAAGCAATTATTCGTTAATTTTCTTTGTATAAACATTTTTTTCATCAAAATATCAAAAAATATAGCACTCTCGAAAAAAAAACAAACAAAAAAAAAGGGGGGGGGCGAAATCCGTATGATCGTTCAGTTTGCGAATAGAATTAACTAAAAATATATTCGGTCGTTCGACGAACACATACAAAATATTTTTAACATCAATGGACGTTTTTAGACTTTCAACAAAAAGTTTACAATTGTATGTTTGGAATTATTAATAACAAAATAAAGCCCGCCGCTAATAATTCTATATATGATAGTAAAATTAATTTAATCCTACGATATTTATAATCTTTTAATATAAATTTGTGACCTTACTCGTAAGAATTATTAATCCGCCCAAAACTCATATCGACTATAAGTAATACATTTTATAATAAACATTGAAGCAATTAATAGCTCGCATAATGTATTAATAAATAATATTGTAGACGGGCATAAGATTATATTATCCAACATATGTTGGAGACCATTGGATGCGAATGGTCACCAAATAAAAACGAATATCTTCCATCAGCACATAAATTACACGACTGGTGAGTTGAATCGTTGATTGGTCAAATTAAATTATTCAGTCCCTCATAATTATTAAGTCATAAAGCTTAAAAATAATCTTCAAATATCATTTGGATATTGCATTACACGGCGTGTATTTGTGTTAGTTCAGGGTGAAAGAACTTTTAAAAATGCGAACGCCATTTCGATCGCTCATACTCGACAGTAATTTTATCTACAAACTAACCATGACCTATGTCATTTATAGCAAGATTTGTTTACTCCTTACTCAGTCGATGAAACTTAACGATGAGCGTAGAAGTTCACCGCACGTTAATTATAAAACTATAAAAGATAATCAATTTTGAGATATGGTTTTATATTTTCAAATCGGCGAGTAGAAAA